GCGTTCACGAAGGAGAAATTGACGAAATGCTCATGTCTACGATAACGGTTCCTCCTCGGAACTTCAATCGGCGCCTCTTCCGCCTGCACCTCAACCTAATGCTCAGCCTCAGCGTAGTTCACCTAGAAGCAAACGAGCTCAATATGCTTCCTATGGACAGGAAGATGACCTTGATGGTGTGAACGAGCCTAGGACAGGGTACGCGGAAGAAGATGCGTAAGAATAACGACAAGGATGAGGCCCGTGACGCATTCGGCGCGGCTGACGGTGTAGTCGACTTGAGCGGGGGCCTGTACCTGGACGTCAATATGGGCCAGTCGACCTCGAGCAGATCAAGTTTGAGGAAGGGAAAGAAAGAGAAGACTTTGGGCGACTTCGTTCGGTTACTCCGAGATTTTATCTGCTCTTCACGCTGGTTCCTGGTCTGAATCGGGCTTATCGTTTCTTTTCCCCTCTTTTTCGCCGTTCTATCCCTTTTGATCGCCCATATTTACAAGTAAACACATCCAATGTCGTTTTGCAGAAAGCAACATGGCATGTTCCAGTTGAACAAATTACCATCGCCGAGCGCGGCGCCGCCGCTGGTCCAGACGATCCCTCTGCTACAACAACACAACCAAAGATGAAACAAACCCTAACGAACCTCGTCGGCTCTAAACCTTCCTCCAGGTCTACATCGCCAGCACCCTCCGATCCTTCATCATCACAGTCAGGCATCACGAAGGAAGTAGCGCTCAAGTTGATTCCCAAGAAGAAAGTAAAGGGGAACGAGGCTAGTGTTTGGGGTGAAATGGAGGTATTGAAAGGTTTAGACCATCCGAACATCGTACGTGTCATCCGTTTAATTTGTCTCGATCTTCGGAGCTCAGCATCATGAATGACAATCTAGGTCAAGTTTTATGAATGGTTTGAATCACGAACGAAATATTATCTTTCCTTCGAGCTTGCCGTAGGCGGAGAACTTTTCGACCGGATACTCAAGAAGGGTAAATTTACAGAGAAAGATGCTAGTGGCGTCATAAGGTAAGGGTTATCGTCCTGTTTGTTCTTATGAGCGACATTGGAACTCCTCCGTCCATCGAGTAGTGACAGTTTTTGCGGACTTTCATACGCATTATGCGTCATCTTTATCTTTTCCTTCATCAAACTCATGTCCATTCGAGCCATATGTGAATGCTCAATACCCACGTATCTCGTAGGTCAATTCTCTCAGGCGTCGCATACCTCCACGAACATGATATCGTGCACCGAGATCTCAAGTGCGTGCTTCTCTTCTAACCGTTACAAGCATCTGATTCCGTCATCTTTGTTCTTCTCAGACCCGAGAACATCCTCTACAGAACGTCAGCAGAGGATTCCAACATCGTTATTGCAGATTTCGGGATGTAAGTCTCCTTCCTCTCTCCTATTTCCAAACGAAACCATCAATCTTTCATTAGAGCCAAACATCTTGATACGCCGGAAGAGCAATTGCATTCGCTCGCCGGAAGCATTGGTTACGTCGCTCCTGAGGTGCTGCTTAACGAAGGGCACGGGAAGCAAGTCGATTTGTGGAGTATTGGGTAAGCTCCTCCAATCATTGCTATCATCCTCCCTGTGCTGAACCTACGTCTCCAGAATAATCACTTATGTCCTCCTTTGCGGCTACTCCCCTTTCCGATCGGACGAAGTCAAAGTCCTCATCCGCGAAACGACCGAAGCTCGAATCGAGTTCCACGACAAATATTGGAAAAATGTTTCCTCCGAAGCCAAAATTTTCATCAAACGCCTCCTTAACCCTGATCCTACCCGCAGACCAACTGCCGCTGAAGCACTCAAGGATACCTGGCTCACGACACACGATCCATCCGAGGAACACGATCTCTCTGACGGACTCAGAGACCACTTCGATTCCAGATCTAAATGGCGTAATGCGATTGCTGGTGCGAGAGCGATGCATAGGTTGGCGTCCTTTGGTCGTACACAGTCTCAGCTCTCGACCGCGTCAGATGCGACTGCGTCCTCTGGAGGATGGAATAGTGGTAGTACCGGGGGTGGTCCCTCCTAATACGGACGACGAGGATGAGGACGACGGATGGCATCCTGCGTCTGCGTCTGAGGTGAAACTTGGTAATGGCCGCGATAGCACGAGTGGCCCTGGTGATAATGTTAACGTCACGGTCACTAGAGGGGTGCTGCTAGAATGTCGTATGGGCGACGAATTAGGAATTGGAATGACGAAAGAGAGGGTGGTGATGTCTGAAGATGAAGATGAAGATGCGGTCTCAGAGATGTATATGGAGGATCGAGGGAGGAATGTACTTGACATGGTCTCTATCACAACTCACGAAAAGAGTGGTCAGTGGAGGAGGTCCACGTTACAGCTGCCGAAGACATTGGATCCCAGAAAGTGAGTTCTTCTTTCAGTGGCTCCGTAGCGTATATTGAAATCAGTCGCAGGAGAACATATTACCTTCTCGACCGGTTTCGCTCGACGATTCACGAGGGAGCCTTGGGGTCGCTTGAACCTACGCTTTGTGATTTCTCCCTGAGGCGGAGGAGGAGGAGACTATGCTGTTGAGAGTTCAGGCGCAATCTGGGTCTGGAATTTCACAATTCGAGATGGGCAACGCTTGGTTTCTCCTGATTCTGTATTGATCTGTTTTTATTCTCACTGCATATACTGGTTATGTTATAAATCATTGCCTCAAGTTTCTTCATCTTCATCATCCCTGCTCATGAAATATGTGCTTGGGTTAAGCTCAAGTATGTATAAGAGGCCCGAGAGTCATTATCTAATCCCATCGACAGCGACATAATACCCATCACAGCATGATTAGCCTTCTTCAGGCTCTTGTCCACATCCAAATTGCTCAGTAACGTCTAGCGCACTCTATCCGAAGCCCCAGCATACCCATTGGTTTCCATCCGGCTTTCCTAAACCCCGACCCCGACCTACAACAACTTATTCACCCAAATACCAACAATCCTCAACGACCGCCCCCCAGCTCGTTACTTCAGCTCCCCGCGCACTTCATCCGGGCTTTCTACCTCTTCCGTATTTCCCGTCGTGACGGTCTGATACAGCGTACTCCCCCCGATCTCGTGCGATCTTCGTGGATCTAGTTCGAAATACGCGCGATGGCAAGACGCTCGAGCCGAAAACTTCACGCTCTATACGTATCTAGACGACTCCGCGTTCCGTCGTTAGCGGATGGTCCCGGCTGTTTGTATGCGTTCGTCGATCACGGTGTCTACTGGAAAGTAGGCATGTCGATCGACTACGACCGGCGGAAGGCTGAGTGGGAGAGACAGTGTCCGTGTCCCAGCAGAGTCTGGCTCCCCCCTATGCGGGTTTTACGGCGAAGGAAATCCGGTGCGTCTTTTTGCTCTTACATTCTATCAATGCTCACTGTCTTTCAGAATCTTTGGCCCATCTTTTACTGGAACTGGCTTGCTTCGATAGGCCTCGAATACACTGTCCTAACTGTCCGTATGAAGCGCGTCTGAATCTATCCGTACGCTAATTTCATGCTGTCTCGCAAAGGTTCCAAGGCACATATCGAAAGATTTATCATCCCTGGTCATTGGTTTGTTGTGTGGAAAACTATAGTCCTACCGGTCCTTGCAATGATGGTAGCTGCATAATGGTGGGTCCTTTTCAGCTTTCTCTGATATGATATATGACTGACAAGCTAATAGATTCTGAGAGGTCAATATTTTACCTGTGTATTTCTTGCAAACACTGTAAATATATATCATAGTGTTATCTTGAAAAGCAAGCTTGCTCAAGTATACTGATGATTAGTGAATCAGCACATCAGATGAGTACCTACCTACCGTTTCTCAAGATTCTACTGACACAAGTACTAGGAGATGGTATATTGATCATATACCTTTCGACGTCCCAACATCCGCGACACTTTTCCATCTGGATATCTTGGATATCGAGACGTCTTGATGTCCCAACGTCCCGATATCGACGACGTCTTGATGTCTCCACGTCCCGATATCGACGACGTCTTGATGTCTCCACGTCCCGATATCGACGACGTCTCGATGTCCCGACGTCCCGACATCGCGTACCCCTATTCTCGGTGAGATTATTTTGAAGAATCTCATGCTCTCCACGCGGCGAATATTCCGCAAAATTTTTAAACTATCCCGGTAAGATTATGCTGCAATTATTCAAAATAATCCCAGCATATTCACACACTAATTTAGGGTAGATTAGATTGAAAAATCCTTGCATATTCAGCACGCGAAAACATTGAAAAATCACGATGGGTTTAATTAGACTAATCCTAGGTAGTTTTGTGGAAGAATTTTCTGAATAATCTCAATATATTCTCTACATAATGTTCGTCCGATTACAGTGTGATTAAATAAAATATTCAGCTTACACTTAGGCGTAGAATTTTGTACCTAATCTCGCCTTATTCGCGGCCTATTCGCGGCAAGAAAAGGCCTTCATCCCCGCAGTGTCAGCTGTTTAGTTTTCGTCTGACTCCTTGGGTGAATGCACAAGCACAGTGTGTCAATTCCATCTCTTTGAATTCAGGCGTGTAATGGGAGCCCTTACAGATGAGCTCAGAGTTGAATCAGTGGAGGCAACGTAGGAGGCTGCGGTGGAGGTTCCTGCAGGTGCATTTGATTTTATTTACTTTGTTTAACGAACTAGTCTCTAAACTCTGTTTCTTCTGTAGTGCATGATTACAGATATTCTCCCATTATTCTTCCTATGTTCCAAATGTTCCAATGCTGCCTCTATTTGCGAACCATACATATTACGATGCTGAAATTATAATTTCACCTTCATCTTTCACTGAACATTGTGTCCGAAAAGTCGTTCCAGTCGAACTAATGGTATGCGGATGAATTTCAAGCGTATACGGGTGGAAATGGTGTAGGAAATGTGGCCAATAAGGGCATGGAGGGTCGTATTCTTGTGATAAACTTCCATCGCTACCAAAGACATTTTTGACTACCAGTTTTCGACCTGGCGTCTGTTTGATGGTGAAACATTCATACCCTAGTTTTGATGCCTCAACTCATTAATTGTTTTAGTAGTCCCCATTCTGTTTGCATCGTTACAGATGTACCCGTACTTCTCGGACAAAGACTGTTGGTTTGTTGCTAATCATTTCGCCTAAATTATGCTTCAAGTACTTTCTCTATTTCCACTACCGTTGGGCGACCTCCACTCAGGAAACGAATGTCATCTTCCTCAATACCCCCAACATGCATCATTACCGAAAACCCTGATATTGCTGGTGCGTTTCGTAGCCCACGTTTATGACGCCTGCGCTAACAATTGAATCAGGCATCGGCGTCCGTCTTTCAATCTACCTTCCAGCTATACTCGTGACACTAAACTCTGGCTTTGTCACTGGTAAAGTCTTTGTGGACTTCCTTACAGGCAAATTTTCCGAATACGTTCCACCTGCTCCTCTCAAGTCACCGCTGGCTGGTGATCACCACAACTCCGCGTCGGGTTCCAATATCGAACTGGATGACCTCGGAGCAGCAGATCATCTGCAGCGTCCCTCCTCCCCTGTGAGGTCTACTAGGTCCTCTGTATCCTCTATTCCTTCATGGGATAGTAACAATAGCGACCGGAGAAAACTACGCGGATACCTTGCCTATGTATCCGACCACCCACACTACTTCGAGTCCGCTAAATCCCTTGAGCGCTCCCTCTTCCTCATTGGTTCCGCAATAATAGTCGGCGCATTTCTCGATGCCCGAGGAGTTACATCCAACATAGGTCTGCCTCCTTACCATGCCCTCCTCGTCCTCAACCTATCCCTACTCAACAATCTCGCTGGTTCATCCTTCCTTTTCTTTCGGATCGGAGCGATTTTCGCTACAATTGAATTGGATGACAAGGACGAAGAGAACGAAGGGTTCATGTCCAAGACCATATGGTGGTCGGTCAGATTCTTCGATGTTTTTGGTCTGTCGTTGTTCCAGACAGTGGTCATTATCGCGTTTGGGATATGGTTCTGGGTGTCGACTACGTTTTACCATTCATTTAGCGGGTATAATATGACGAACAGCACATTGTTATCCTCGCCGACGTATAATTCTACATTGGCCGCATCTTCCGAGGGACCCTCGGACCCATCGCAATGCGTATCAGAAACCTTCTACTGGGCGTTCATCGAGATACCCGTCGAGTCGACGCTCTCTATCCAAATCATCTCTTTCATATTTTATATCGGAACAGTTCTAGTCCCCTTTCTCGGTCCGCTCGTCACAATAATCCCCACCGTCATCTTATTCAGATCAGTACCACTATTCCTAGGACTCATATCTTCATCCATTATATACCTTTTTGGTATAATCATACCACGTTTAACCACCCGCCTCATATACACCCTCCTCCCTAAAATTTTCCGCCTCTCCATAATCCTTCCCTATCCCCGCTCAACCCAACCACTCTTCCCCACCCGCCTCTCACCCTCAGCAATCTCCACAAAACTTATGTTTCTCGCTGTGATGATAACGAATCAATGCACAGTCGTGTTCCTTATCATCTCCACTGAGAAAACTATTTCCATAAATTCCGCCTCGAAGAGGGGAACGGTGGTGATTAACGGAGCGCAGTGGACGTATGGACAGACGCTGGCGTTGATGAGTGCGCTGATTGGGGTATTTATGTATGTTGCGGAGGTGGTGGGACATTGGAGAGAGGCGTGGATCGAGCGAAGGAAGAGGATGAGGGAGATGAATGACGTTGACGTCGAGAATGAAGGAGATGGTTGATCAATTCACGTACTCGATTACCGACTTCTTCATTCCTAAATTATCATTGTGCTGAGCGTTTCAGAAGTTCGGTGTGCCTTGTTAGTTTTTTCCACTCCTTGATCATCGATTGTTGATACTGATATAGGAATCTAGCCATATCCTCAACGTGGATTATACAAAGATTATCATGCTACACCAGGCTACACCGCGCACACTACTCCGATTCCGTGCCTCACTCGAACTCGACATTTTGACTGTCTCAGTCCGCCTATTGTTGCATGCCAGTCCCTCATCGTTACAGATGGTCCCGAACTCACCGGACAAAGACTGCTGGTTTGATAGCAATTATTTCTCCTAAATTATGGATTATTTATGGCGTTCGTCGTCGAACGACTTCGCTCTGCTCCCGCAATCATCGGTGGACGTTTACCACCGCAAGACCAATACGGTAGACGGATGTCCTCTTCCATACCCTCAACATGCATTATCACGGAGTACCCTGATATAGCTGGTCCGTTTCGCAGACCACGTCGTAATCTGTGCACATCCCCTAAAATTTGAATCAGGTATTGGAGTCCGACTTTCAATATACATCCCAGCTATATTGGTGACCCTAAACCTGCCCTAAACTCTGGCTTTGTCACCGGTCAAGTCTTCGTGGACGTTTTCACCGGGAAACACATTCCACCTGTCAGGCCATCATTGGGCAATGCCAACTCCGTCGGGTTCCGATATATGCTGATCTCAAGGCAGCGAGTCATCTAGGCCGTTCTTCTTCTCCCGCAAGGACTACTAGCTCTTCTAGGACCAGTGATAACAGCGCTCTAAGAACGTTCCGTGGATACCTCTCTTACATCTCCGACCACCCACACTACTTCGAATACGCTAAATCACTCGAACGCTCTCTCTTCCTCATTGGTTCCGCAATAATTGTCGGCGGATTTCTAGATGCCCGAGGCGTCACCTCTACTATCGGTCTCCCTCCCCACCCCGCCCTCCTCGTCCTCAACTTATCCCTACTCAACAACCTTGCCGGTTCTTCATTCCTCCCGTTCCGAATTGGAGCCATCTTCGCAACAATCAAAATAGATGATGAAGACGACGAATATGCCAAGGGAATAACGTCCAAAACGATTTGGTGGTCTATTAGGTTTTTTGATGTTTTTAACCTTGGGTTATTACAGACAGAAGTTATCATTGCGTTTGGGATTTGGGTTTGGGTATCGACGATGTTATATCATTCGTTCAGCGGATACTTATAGCATGACCGTTGACGCATCGTTGTCATCGCCGTTGTACAATTCCACACTTCGCTGCATCGTCGAGTGGACTTTCGGACACACCGCAATGCATCTCAGAAACTTTTCACTGGGCTTTTGTAGGGAGCCCCAACGAGTCGATGTTGTCCTTACAGATAATCTCCTTCATATTCTACGTCGGAACAGCTTCGGTCCTATTCCTCGGAATCTTCGTCACAGTTGTCCCCACTGTCATCTTATTCCGAACTGTACCTATATTCCCCTGATTGTCATTCTCATCAGTCATATACTTTTTTGGTATAATCCTACCACGTATAACGCCCCGTCTCATATACACTCTTCTCCCAAAACTCTTCCATCTCCCCATCACACTTTTATATCCGCATCCAACTCAACCGCTCTTCCCCGCCCGCCTCTCACCCTCAGCAATCTCTACGAAACTCATATTTCTCGCGATGATGATAACGAATCGATGTACGGTCGTGTTCCTTATCATCCCAACTGAAAAAAACTATTTCCACAAATTCCGCTTCGCAGAAAGGAATGGTAGTGATCAACGGAACGCAGTGGACGCATGGATAGACGCTGGCATTGATGAGCGCGGTTATTGGAATACTTACGTATGCTGCGGAGGTCGGTCATTGGAGAGAGACTTGGATCGAGCGGCGGAAGAGGATGAAGGAGAATCAGGATGTGTTTGTTTCGGGGGATGCTAGGTACAGTATTGGTGATTTTACGCCGGGTTTAGATGGACCACCGAAGGTCGATGTGTACATACATGGGCCATCGGTTCAATACAATTGATAATCAATATGACGAGAAAGGCGAGTTCATGACATTGCACGGTGATACATGTATAATTTCACAGAAACAAACGCATGTACTTTGTCTTATCTCTTGATCTTCACAGAAAAACGGGGAATCGAAGACTGCGAGGAAGAGAAGATCAGCCCATGCGTGAGTACTTCCAAGCATGCTGTTCACATCTACCACCGGAATCCCCGCATTAATGTAACAGGTTTCCAGTCTTTTCAGCTTACAAAATATGTCCTCAAGGTATCCCCAACGCTTGAATGTCAGCTCACATTGATACCCAAGGGGCAGGCAAGTTAAGCTAAGCCCGAACGCCAAATTTACCCTTGAGACTCGGATCTGCTTCTCCTTCTGAAGATTTCTACATAAGCCAAGGCTCCACAAAGACCCCCTTAATCCCACCGGTTATAAAGTTTCGCGAGACAAGGATAAGATTTGTCTTTATCTTTTCCTCTATCTCCCATTCCAATCTCCAAATCATGTCTCTTCCCAAAACATTCAAGGCCGCTGTTATCAACTCTGCGGGCAGTGACTTTGAGATCATCGAAAAGACTCTCGAGGTATGTGTGGTGTCGAATGTTCTGTATTAGATTTTCTAAAATATCTTAGCTCCCTACAGAAGGAACTATTCTTGTGAAAGTTCTAGCATGTGGTGTTTGTGCTAGGTACGCACCTCCTTCTGCGAGTCGAATATAACCACCGACAAACGTTCAATAACACCACAGCGATGGCATGGTCAAATATGGAATGGCCCCCCTTCCCCGAGTCGCCGGACATGAAATTATCGGTGACGTTGTCGCCGTACCTTCCGGCGAAACTCGCTGGAAAGTCGGAGACCGTGTTGGCTCGGGCTGGCATGGAGGTCATTGCAATCAGTGCAGCTCTTGCAAGGAGAGTGATTTTATTACTTGTTCGTCCGAAGCCATCAACGGGTCTGTATTATTTAATACTTCCCCACAAATAATTGATGCGCTGACGCGTTTCTCGTTATATAGTGTCACCAAAGACGGTGGCTACGCTGAATACACTACTCTCCGTACAGAAGCTGTTCTTCCCGTTCCCACAGAACTCGATCCTGCTGAGGCGGCTCCCCTTCTTTGTGCTGGAATCACCACTTTCAACTCGCTCCGCAACATTCCCGACCTCAAAAAGGGGGATCTCGTTGCTGTTCATGGCCTCGGTGGTAAGATCCCCCATCAGTCACAATACACGATCCCCAGGGTTTTTTTAACTCGGTTTACTGTCTACAGGTCTTGGCCATCTCGGTATCCAGTACGCGAAACAGATGGGTTACAAGGTCGTCGCGCTCTCTCAATCTTCCGCCAAAAAGGAATTGGCTACCAAGCTAGGCGCCGATTATTATCTCGATGGATCGCAGGTGAACCAGGTCGAGGAGCTCATGAAGCTAGGCGGAGCCAAGGTCATCGTTGCCACTGCTCCTCAGGGTGAGGCTATCGCCACTCTTCTCGGGGGACTCAAAATTGGAGGAACTATGCTCGTTCTTGCTAGTAAGCATGGCATCCTTTTCTTTCTTGAATATTTCGCTGACCTCCGATGTTTTTCAGTCGTGGATCTCAAATTCAGCACCATCGCTCTCATCGGCAAACGTGCTTCTATCAAGGGCTGGCCTTCGGGTCATGCTAAAGATAGCGAGGATGCGGTTGCGTTTGCGCAAAAGCACAACGTGAAGACGTTGATCGAGAAGTATGTCAAATTTCTTCCTTATTTGATGTGCTCAATATTAATACAATTTTTCTTTCCAGATTCCCTTTGGAAAAAGTCAACGAAGCGTACAACAAGATGCAGAGCGGTCAGGTCAGATTCCGTGCTGTCTTAACTCCCTGAGTGTACGACAACAAATACTCCATAACTTGAAATCATGTTCCAATCGTGTACAGTGTAATATTCGAGGGTAATCCCCGCTCTTTCCTGACCTATTCCTCGTATCTTTTGTTTGTATTTTTGTGGAAAGTGCCGGCAGACCGACATGGTGATCTCCTTCCGGTCTTCGTATTAAAGGGGCGTATCTTGAAGTTCACTCGAACTCTGAAGACCGAGACTTGAGGTACAAGGCAAGCGAGACTGTATAAACATTGATTGGAGAGTTCGAGTGCTCATGACGCCAAAATAAAGTAGACTTCAGAGTAAGGGTGAAAGGAAGGTCGGTCGGGTCGCATTCGGGAAACTATTAGGAGAAACTGATGAAGCGCCTTGAAGCGCGATATAGATCTAGTGGTATAATGAAGAAATCTCAGCGTTTTAGACTCTCCGCAAACGAGGACTAGCACAGGTTTATCTGAAGATTATGGAGTCCTTATAGGTCCTTATATATCTGCCACAGGAGGCACGGCGCGAGTGGATTGAATATCCCGGTTCCCATCGGCTTCATCCCCCACCTATCCCCACACAGGCTCACACGTGACTAGTTCCACTAAGTATCTCTCATCTTTCTTCATGCATATGCCCTGCATATGCCTACGTCTACGCTTTCCGGTGATTCAGGTGCAGACCGGAACCCTCCCATTAACACACTATTTGTGGGGAATATACCCATGTCGCCGCCGTTGGGATGCACTCCTGGTATCATAGAAGATTGTTTGAGGGAATTGTTTCAAACGAGACCTGGATACGAAAAATTATTGTTCAGACAGAAGCGTACTGGGTCCATGTGCTATGTTGAGGTGCAGTCTTTGTTTTGTTCTTGTTTCGATAACTATGATGGATGTGCACTGACTCACTTTCTTAGTTTAAGGATGTCAGTTCGGCAACCAAGACCATCGATGAACTTGACGGAAATGCGCTTAATGGCCTTGCCAAGGACGGTGGTATTCATCTCTCATACAGCAAAAACCCGCTGAGCATTCAGACTCATACGAGTGCAAATAGACCGGATTAAGTAGGGCTTTGACATCTACATTTTTTACAAGGCTCACATCGGAGGAGATGGTGATAATAGGGAGGAGAAGGACTCTTTAGCTTTGACACTTTCATTTTTGGTATTTCGGTTTCATGTGCATTGCTTGTAAGTATGTAGTTTCCGACCATGCCTAAATTCGAGTATACCCAATCATCAATACCCAAAAGGTAGGTATAGTATTTACAGGCCTTGCATAGTGCCTGGGGTTTACCGAAACCTCGTAGCAAGGACTACGCACCCAGGGACATATGAAATCACGATTCATTCTACTCGCAAATCGGTGGGTCTTGCCACTAGCCCAGGAGTATTGTGCCTGTACAACTCGGTTTCAGCCCAGTCATCCCTCGAAAGTACCAAATCCTGAATTGTTCCACGTCTTAGGAATTCAATCAAAAGTTGAAATGCGCGCGCAGAAATCCTATCACGAGCGTCTAGAGATTACTCCACTGAAAACGAACGCGAATAACGCGCCAAGGATGACAAAGGCCAGGGATGGACGAAGGAAGGGGTATTCGTCGAATAATGATGTTGATGATACAGGAGCCGGAGGAGGTGGAGAATACGTTTTAATAGGAGGGGGAGTCGGTTCCTTGAACACAGGTGGACATTCAAAATCCTCGAACAACTGTAGCACGCTCTCACCCTCGCCATCCACATCGACTTCCACAACACCTCCGAAGAAATCCGTAATCAGTGCTTCTCTCAACCCTCTTCCCCTTTTCTCAGCTTCCATTTCTCTTCCCACCCACTCTCCGCCACCCTCGACAGTCCATCCTCTACCTCGTCCATACTCGTTCATCGGGTGTTCCGGACCTAAAGGTCGGTCGAATAGGTCCGACCTGACACCAGGGTGGGAGCCGATCTTCGGGACATCGTAAGAGGTGAAAAGGTCGGCCATTGTGAGTCGGGAGGTTTTGTTGACTTTTTCCATGTATTCGAGGACGTAGTGGGTGTAGGAGTCAATCACGGCTACGCCGATGTCGTAGTCATTTTCGTGCTGAATAAAGAGTAAATAAAAGTAAGAATTAAAGGAAGAACCAGAAACCTACCGAATACGAATTCTCTCCGACAACAGAGCTTCCCGTTGCCAGAATACCAGGCGAATAAAACTTTGAGTACATCGAGTTCGCTTGACACGTATCCACCATGAAAAAGATCTCGTTATATCTTCCACCTTCGTACATCTGGTGAAAGGCATCGGCAATGTCATGTGCGGATACTTCCTCATTGTCTTGAAATTTCAAGAATTCGTTCCCGCCGTGACCGGTGAGGTAGATGAAGATGTTGGAGGAGGAATCAGTCAAGAGGCGTTTAGAACGCGGAAAGGACGGTGGAAGACGGCCCGTTAACTACAGCAGGGAAATTTGAATCGGTTTGTATAGAAGTAAGAAGTAAACTGGCACCCACAAGCCTTAAGAAATTCTCCACGGTAACCTCATACCCTCTATAATCTACCTCGATATTCTCTCCAAACAAATCCAAATGTCTTCCTGGATTCGCATACACGCTACCAGCAAAGCTGTTCCGCTCATTACACGCCGCGTCATCGGCCAGCATTAAGATAATATTGGAATCTGGGATGCCCAATCGCTTAACTGTGCGGTACATCCCAAGCGCATTTGCCATATGGCGGTAATTGAACCAGTAGCGGGAGGAGCAGACGAGGACAGCCCAGTTGTTTGTATGTTGTGAGGATGCATGGCTTTGGGATAAAGAGAGGAGCAAGATAAATGTAAACAGAGAGAAGGACAACGACAGTAAGCGCATGAGTGATAATGTAAAAGAAATTACTAAGCGCCTGATCTGCAACCATCATTTCGAATTGACCAGTATCGACCACCATCTAAAACTTTACCAGCGATATTGCATTGAATCTGCCATTTTTTTTTTGTTTCTGGTTCAAAAACACGTCTGTGTGGTGCGGCTCTCATGCTTATCGTCCTTGAACCAAATTTAAACTTCAATCTGATTTTCCTAGTCGCACAAAAAACTTTTTTCAACCCTTAAGCCCACGACACAGGAGTCAAAACGCTTGCACCCAAACCAGAATGACTCGCAAAGGCCATCAGAAACCTTTTGAGCCTCGCGTCAAGGTCGACAATCTCGCTCTCAACGAACGACTTCGGTCGTCTTATGGCATTATCGACAATGCTAAAATCAAAGGGTTGCTCAACCAGGCGGAGGAAGATCTTGCTGGCTACGACCTCGAAATGGAGCGTGTTCGTATGGCGTATGAAGAAGAGATGCATCGCCTTCGTATACGGCGCCAAGGACTGCACATATACATGACGAATCTTACCGCGCTTCAATCTCCTATCCGACGTCTGCCTGAAGAACTATTATCTCTGATCTTCCTACACTGCTGCAAGGAGAACGACTTGACGGCGGACTACGAAGGCTGTCGCAAAGCGATGGCTATGACCATAAGCTGCGTTTGTACCAGATGGCGAAGGCTGGCGCTTCCATGTCCAGTATTTTGGTCGAACCTGACAATCACGTTCGCTTACAGGAACTCAAAGGAAGAGGAAGCCAAGTTGGTGCACAAATTGTCAACTTACCTGGAACGATCAAAATCGCATCCTTTGACTTTGGAGCTCACTGCCTATATCTTTGAACCCACCACTCATAGGGCTCTCGCGTTGATTGCTCGGGAGTCTCATCGGTGGCAATATATCTTGTTCAGAGGCGATTTCTTTGGTGGAGATAACTTTCCCTATCTGGAACCGCTACGCCTTCCAATATTAGAGACGATGATATTCGACAAATTCGAGGACACGTTTTTCTTCAAAGAACCCCATTCAGAACCATTCACTAGCACGTTGAATTTGAAATACGTTGTGTTTGGGTCACTTGAATTGGGCAGCGGTGCCATAGCACTCTCTCTACCGCTAGAGACAATCACCTCGCTCGATTATGCATCAAGGACAGACATCGTCAAAAGTTTATCCCTAGTCAAACGTTGTACCAATCTGCGCCATCTTCGAATCGACCTCTGGGTAGATTATGATTCAAACGACTACAGCCATCTAGAGATTATCCCGCAAATACTTTCGATTGATACACTTGAGGTGGATATTTATGAAGCCCGTGAACACAGCAACTCGCTAGCATTGTTCACTTTTCCAAACTTGGTTAATCTGACGCTGACGGGTGGTGCACCACCCTCATTCTCGAGGTCGTTCGCGGCACTAAAATCCTTATTAGCACGCTCAAAATGCCACCTCCAAGTTTTGACAATTCGGGAATATCACTGTCTTGCGGATACCGATGTGGTTACCCTCTTACTTCAATTTCCCACCCTACAAGAGCTGTGCATTGAGGAAGACAATTACTCTTATAAACCCCAACCCATCTCAACCTCGTTCATCACAAGTCTACACACCTGGAAACAAAGTTCCCTGCGATGCTCGTCTGCACCCCTCGTTCCTCAATTGCGTGTCCTCACTCTGAAAACGGCGGCGGAAGATTTTGACCCTTCTTCCTTCGTCGAGATGATCACCTCACGCTGGCTCCCCGACGAATGTAGTGAAAGGGAGATTGGTGCTGTGTGCCTGAGATCAGTTGAATTGCATTTGCCCGGAATTGTAGATGCGAAGCCCTATGAGCCACTCACGCATATCGACAAGGCTGGGATGCGGGTTGTTGTGAAGTGTGAAGGGGGATATCTTGTTTGAAATGCACATTTTCCGGTTGGTCGTTGTGAAACAGCTTTTGTTTTTGGCCGTCCCTTGCATTCTTTCTTGAAATTACATCGATAGAGACTTTGGGCCTCGGAACAATGCGGTGGTGCTTTGAATATCGAATAAAACAGAATACCGATGTTTTTTGCACTTGTCTAATTTCTATGGTACATTGTTGTTTTCCGATTTCGACAAGGCTATAATTATTCAAGCTCATGCCCAAATGCCCAACGCCTGAGCAGATAACTCCCCAAGCTGCTCAATACATCTATGTGCCCACTTCCCTCCCTGTTTCTTCTTGTACTCCTCCCAATCCTTCCTTAACTTATCCCAGTCCTTTGCGCAGTCTCTGACTGCATCGTTCTCCGCCTCAGTTCCCCTCGTTTTACCATCTGCAATACAATGCGTCGCCTATCCCCTCGCCACCTCGATATGCTCCGCCCTCGTCTTGAGGATCTCGATCATGGCGAGCTCCTCTTCAGTATTGCCCCCGCCGTGGAACGCCATCATAGACATCATGGCTGCATTTCCAAGAGGAGGACGTGTGACGGAACGAATGGTTTGGATGTCTCGGAGCGCGCCTTTGGCTTCCTCGATGAAAGCCTGGGGATTATAGACCGTGGCAGCGATGGAACGAGCGCGGTCAAGGTTGGGAGAAGAAACTCCATTGCTCGTTTTGTTAGATGAAGAGCAATGTTGTTGTTTCTCCCGCGATTTGGAAGATTTGTGGCCCAATAAATTCATAATGAGGTTTGTGATAATGTCTTCAACATTGTGGCTATGGACAGTTCCGGATAGTATACTGCGAATTTGAAGCAATTAGCGGTTGGGATAGGACAGGATAATTGAATCTTACTTATGTAGGGATTTTGGCTTCAGGTCCGCGTTTATATCTCACTATGCCTCACCGCCGACTTCTGAATCAGACTCCATCAGACTATGATTGTGTCATTGAACCAAGTGCTAGAACATATGGCAATAACGCAGCGTCGAATCACTCAGTCAACCAATGTCCCAGTTTGTTTCAACTTTCGACGTCTTTTTCGGAGCCCAAGCGTGACGTCTCTTTTCTCTTCAACATCCCCTGCGCCTTCTGGGAGCTTTTGGGTTTCCGAAATTGACAACAAAACAGGTCGTTATTTTTCACATCGTTATTGCTAATCACTTGACGTGCTTGCATTGTAAACTTAGGACCTCTCGGGCCCCTCAATTCAAACCCTCAAGCTTGACGTTCGAATGATTCATAGTATACCGTTGATTATACTTAGCACTTCCTCTCCAAGTTCGTTTACTTTGTCATGGTTACCTGCAGCTTTTTGTTTTAATTTATGGTGCTTGAGGGCGCTGAGTGCGGCCGCTTGTGTCACCCGGAATTTTTGTCTAACCTTGCCTAACCATGTACCCTGCTGTACCCCAGTGGGATGTTGGTAATACCGCATTTTGGAGTACGACAAGTAGCAATTTCTGCGGATAAAATCACAGGAATGTCAGTTTGTGCTCAATTCTACTGTCTAAGGACTTAGCTGCTCTAAGCTGCTCTAACTTTGCCGAGCTTTGCCGTTCCATGCGAAAAGTCAGCGAAAAACTTCTTCTCCAGTCAGCGGTCGACCAATGCTGCATCATTCAAACCACAGAACCAACATACCCATTTAGGGATCTTTTCTCAACCATTAAATATACCTGCCCATATGGATATGCGCTCCCATTTACTTTGGACTCGGGAGCTGACAATTGTTCGAAAGTTTTTCCTCGCTTCAAATTTATCTAGGCTCATCGCTCGCGGCTGATGGGTGGCGTATCAACTGGACCCTGTAGGATATCCAGAATTGCTATAAGTCTCATAGGCGACAAATTCAGCACAGGAAATTGAACACGTACGACGGCTTCGTAGTGCATCTGCGCCTATCTGCGCCTGCCACTGCCCTTCTGCGTTTATATGCTTGAGGCTATTCCCTTGATCCCCTTTCTATGTTCGAATAAGACGATATATGCTCTAGTGGCAAGCGCAGTTGATGATATCCTTACATCGTCGGTATGTGAACAACAATGTGACTGCCACCGTATGATGATACCCATTGGTTTGAATATACCTTACCGCTCAGGACTTTGTGCAACAATTATACTAAGGATCTGACACGCCGGTTATTATGGCCATGCCAACAGTATTTAAGGTAATTGTACCAATAACCGCTCCGTCACTCATCGCTGGTTCGTCCCTTCCATGTCCCAGTTGGATGCTATCGAGATACAAGTTCAAGTGTACGCGAAATCTCCCATTCCGGAATTGTCAAAACAAACCCTGATCATAGGAACTGGTATCACTGTGTGGAATGGGCGCAGTTTGGTTTGTCGAAGTATTGCATAGTCCACCGTGTCATCATTCAATCATCGTAGGAATCGTGATATACGAATATCTTATCACGCTTGATCTGGAGGTTGAACGTTTTTGGAAGCGCAAAACTAAGGGACCTGGATCAGTACTCTTCTACATCAACCGATACTTGACTCTCTTAGGAAATATCGGGATAATTGTCTTATTCATGTCCCCTGAACTGGTATTGCGCCACAATGTGAGTGGGCAGTCCCGTCATCCCATGGATGTTTTTAGATGGTTGATTAACTACGGCAGGGGTGAGCTTCTGCTGCTGCAAGTGTTGCTACAGGGATTCCTACACAACTCACATGTGCAATATGTAGACGTTGGGCTTCGATTCTTGTCATAGAGACTTACCTTTTGCTTAACCAGATCGTGATCAATGGTATGATACTTGCAGATCCCTTCGCACCCATTTGGGTTTATATTCTCATTTGAGAAGCGCTCTTCATACTCAGAGTCCGTGCTTTATATGATTCAAGCAAGGGTATTACAGTGTTCCTCTGTACTGTTGCACTCGTTGGTGTGGTAGGGAACGGCTTCGTAAGTAATCATCCTGGTCATATGAGAATCACAAGTGATACTCAGCCAGGTCCAATTCTATTTGGCAAATTGGAAAGACACATCTTATATCAACACAGTCTTCCCAATATCGGTATTGTATGAAGTAGGCACAGTACCGAACTTCACAACGGCACAGTGAGTGCTTGTGTTGAACCATATGTTTAGTTTCCTGCTCACAAGGTCAAGAGGTCTTCGTGGGTAGATTTCCCTCGCTTGTAATGTCAATGTACTGGGACAAATTCTTCTTGCCTATGCTGCTTGTCACAGATATCATCTATATATACACCGGAATATTTGTATTTGACATTTGTGTTGTTTCACTGACACTTTGGAAGACGTTGAAGATTTATAAAGAAGAGCATTTTCCCGGGGGTGTAGGAATCATGATTATGCGAGATGGTGAAATCATTTTTCTGAAATTTCAGTCATTTTTTTAACCATTTTTGCATGGTTTACAAACAGGCCTTTTATATTTTGCCATCATCACACTCTTCACTCTGGCAAACATGGTGACCTATTTGGTCAGCATTCGATGACTTCTTGAATGGAGATTTCACCCTCATGCCATGCTTCCGTCTTGCCCATAGGTGGGCACAGTGCGTGCGATGATCATATGTAGGTATATATCAGCTCAAAAATGATCAAACCTCACACAGGATATTACAAAATCTCTGCTGACAATCTTGTCTAATTCGTAAGTTCGTTCAATCTGAACATTGAGTACTGATGGACCTACACATGTTTTATAGTATGTCCGCTATCATGATGTCGCGTCTAATGCTTAACCTCCGAAGAGAAGAACCAATTGAAACACTAGATCAATTCTCGATATCAGGATTGTTGTTCTCAAACCGGCGGGAGTGGGTAGATGAGTTCTGTTGAAGCGCCTATCGAACAGGCCACGGGGCGAGAGATACACAAGGATTTAATTTGTATAATACCCATTGAGATTAGGAAAAGTCTGTAGAAAACACAAGACCAACACTGGCTTGCTCTCAGTTTGAATATTGAATGAATCCGAGAGCAAATGTTGACGGGTTGGCGGAGGCTCGGTCATATCGATCGTTGAAATCTCACATATCATTGCGGGGTCACCGTCTTCAAGTTTGCGTCGGAGATGCTTATTCGTGAAAAGAGAAAGGTGCATTGTTGAAATTGTTGTGAGGTAATCACACATTCCGTGACAGTCGACGTGTCGGTGACGCGCTCCCAACGAAGTTGCGACTCTACAAGATCAAGCATACTGTCACTAGTATTATCGTATTCGCACTGTACTCGCCTATTTGTCAACGACAAACATCATCGAAAGCTTGCCCCTACCTGACTGTCCTCCCAATCTGCGCCATCGCAAGTTGAACTGATTTTTTCTGGATGATGACGACTACGACGATCCAGAGATTCTTCTGCAATACTCTCTGTTTGACCACTGAGATGTTGATAGCAGCCAGTAATCTTAGATCATGGGTGGCGAAAAGGAATTGCACGAGATATAATAGGATATCCAACGAGACCCTCTCAAGCAACGGTTGAGGAAATGAAATCTAGGAGAATGTAATCAACAACAAATTTGAGGGAGCGACTGCGTAAAAAACTCACCAGGGGGTTGATATCCTAAGTACCTTTGACCTTCAAATCATGTGAATCATAATGAAAAGAGCGAGCGCCACTAAGATCAGAGTGCATCATCCAGCTGTATGAAACCAAGCGATCTCTTTTGCCTTATGGGACTTCGTCACCTCGTTATTTTCCCGTGATGGTGGACGACGCGTGAATGATTTGAAGCACTTTGGTATTATCATAAGTACACTAGGTTTTGCAATCACAAACACAGAGGGGAGGTTAAATCCAGTTTGACTTCGCGAGCAACAGCAACGTGGCTACGAGGAAACCCGGTGGCATAGGTATATGAAGCATTGTCGACGACGGCAAAAACGGATAGACACGAGGGGACAACGACGTCAAGAATGGACAACGACAACGCCAGGAAGGGACACCCGATCTGTATATCGAAGAATAAAAAAGTACGAGCAAGAATGAAAACACTGAACGGTACCGTAACACCCCAACATAGGACGGGCATACTGTGCCAAAGTTCGTCGGGCGCCGATGATCGTGACCTCTCTACGTCCGTAAGCCACGCTGTAGACGCCAACACCGTGAATGAAACGACGTGCGCCCTTCAGCCGCTCCTACGAGCCTGAATAGTCCTATTCAGTACTCCACAGCATCATCATTATCATTTTCTGGCTGCGTGGAACTTGGTTTCATGTCCACGTCCATTGCAGCCGTTTTGTCTTTATCCTCCGATGTAATATCTGCTGTTGTTGGCGCCGAGGCAGGCTCCGTAGACTGTTTCGCATCTTTATCACCATATTTGTTACTACCATCCACATCCATACTAGTAGCGTCACCTCCGTCCCCTTCTGCATTTCCGTTTCGTTCTTTCTTTTTCCTCTCTTTCGATAGCCTGAGCATGAGAGACTTTTTCTCGGAGTTGCCTAATTTCTTGGACACTTGCGTCGCGTTCGGCGGCAAAGGCAGACCATTCGGCTGCGGATGCGACGGTTATCTGTGAGTGAGAAACAAGGAGTCAATCAGCTTATGGTAAAACTTGTAGAATTCGAAAGGACGCACCTCTTCTTTCCGTTTTTTTAAAAATGCTTCTTGTGATGGAAGCAGTTTTTTCGGTAAATAGTATAACGGTGGGGGATGTGACCTGGGAGGTTTTGCTTTCTCTAGTATTTTTGCAAAGGATTGTGCGTCGCCTGTGATCTTTAGCGCAGGTTTACATTCCGCAAGCTCAGACAAAACTTACTTTGTTCGACGTCCTCCTCCATTGTCTGTTCATCCACTATAACATCACTTGTACACAGGAAATTCGCCAGATACGGTGTTCTCGTCCGCCTCAATCTATACACACTGACTCTCACACCCAACTCCTCCTCCTTCCTTACTGCAAGTGTTTTATCCTTCTTTGCCTCTTCCTGCCTCCTTACTTCTGCTGTCTCGTTCCTTAACTTGGCTTGTAGCCGAGCTTCGAGTAATTGACGACGTTTGGCTGCATCGGAGGCTTCGCGCTCTTTTGATTCAATTTTGGCTTTGTTAAGAGTACCTAGAACGAGGCCAAACATAGATTTTCCACCGCGGCCGCCGCGAGTGCCATTGCCAAGAGCAATGCGAGGACGAGAAGATGGAGGAGGAACGGAAGATGGAGGAGCAGCTTCAGCGGCATCTGAAGCTGGTGTAGGGGCTGAGGCGGTTGCAGCTCTAGATAATAGACAAGTCAGTTGCAGAGAACATCTAGACTGAGAAAAACATACTCCTCGGACATGGTGAGCGTATGTGTATGAGGAACGTCGGAGAGCAATTCAAGGGATCCGACAAAACATGTGATCATTTTGTGCCGCCATCGATTTTTCCCCTTTTTTACACGTCGTCCTCATACTACATAATAATAATATGCACATCTACATAACCCTCGCTCACCAAAACAATCTTACAGAATGTGCCGAACACACCGGGGAATCACTGTATACTCACAGCGCTCTGTCTGATGCCAATCATTTCGCCTAAATTACTGGTTTCTGGCGATCTGCGCTTGCCTCGATACAAGGAAGACGGATGTCTGCTCCCTTCCCGCAGACATGTCAAATCACTGAAAATCCTGATATAGCTGGTACATATGCTCTGGAGCTTAAGCCACTCCGCCACTGATGATTTCTCTATAGGTATCGGAGTTCGTCTTTCAATTTACATCCCAGCTATACTGGTGACATTGAACTCTGGCTATGTTGCAGCCCAAGTTTGCGTAGATGGGCTCACTGGGAAGCTGTCTGAATACTTCAGCTCTGCATCACTTAGGCCTTCGTCGGAAGATAGTGATGATAGTGATTCCAACTCTCCTTCCGATATCGAACTCGTTGACCTCGAAGCAGCAGCTCAACCGTCTCAGTCCTCTTCTTCCATTGGATCTGACACATCTTCTTGGTACAGCGACGGTACGAATGAACGTAATTTTGAAAGAACCTCCCGTGGATACCTCAACTACCTCTCCGACCACCCCCACTACTTCGAATCAAGCAGGTCCCTCGAACGATCTCTCTTCCTCGTCGGTTCCGCGATCATTGTGAGCGCTTTCCTTGACGCCCGACGGGTCACCTCCAATATTGGTCTCCCTCCCTATCATGCCCTGCTTGTCCTTAATCTGTCCCTCCTCAACAATCTTGCTGGCTCTATTTTACTTCCGTTCCGAATCATGGCAGTTTGTGCTGAAATGTGGTTCGGTGACAGAGAGGAAGAGGATGTAGTATTGCCAGACTCGCTTTGGAACATAGCCGTGTTCATCGACGTTTTTGGCCTTGCAGTGTTACAGACCTTGGTTATCATTGCGTTCGGGATCTGGTTCTGGGTGTCGACAACGTTCTTTCATTCGTTTAGCGGATATAGCATGACCGTCGACAAATTACTATCTTCGGCATCATTTAATTCAACTATTGCCGCTTCGTCCAATGGACCTTCAGATCCGTCACAGTGCCTCTCTCAAACAATCTACTGGGCTTTCCGCAACGTTCCCGTCGAATCAACCCTCTCTCTACAGATAATCTCGCTCATCTTTTACATTGGGACCGCCGTTTTTCCTATTTTTGGTCCATTCGTTTACGTCGTGCCCACCGTCGTAATCATTCGGTCTGTACCATTGGTTCTAGCAGTGATGCTTTCAGGTGTTATATACCTTTTCGGTGTTACCTTGCCTCGCATACTAACACGCCTGATATATACCCTCCCTCCCAAACTCTACCATCTCTCCATTACTATCCCATATGCCCGTCGCCGTCTCTTCCCAACGGTTCTCTCACCCTCAGCAGTCTCCACCAAATTCATCTTTTTCTCAATCGTGATCTCGAATTTGTCTACTGTCCTGTACTTGATCATCTCCACAGAGAAAACCATCTCAATCAACTCTGCTTCGAGGTCAGGTCCAGTCGTGGTCAGTGGTAAACAATGGACTTATGGACAGACTTTGGCTCTGTTGACTACGGTTATCGGGGTGCTGATGTATGTCGCGGAGCTGGTGGGACAATGGAAAGAAGTTTTGCTCCAACGTCGGAAGCGCCTGCAGGAGCGGGAAAATGATGAAAACGTTGTTCATGTCGCTGGCGATGTTGACGACCCAAATGGGAAGACTCAGACTGGTAATGATGACAAGATGTTCTCTTGGACCTCGACTGGTACTCGGAGAAGGACATGTAATCAGAGGGAGAGGGCTAATAGCATTTGACTTGTGGAACTTCCTGTGATGCAAGCTGCAAAAAAGAAGAAATTAACAAAAACATATAGAATTCAAAGTATACGAGAGCGGCTGTTGCCCAAGTGGCGAACGGTGTACCCAAGAACGGAATAAAGTATATTTTGGTCTCTGGAGCCTACAGGTAGGAGTGGGGTGAGAAAAATGATAAAAAGTTCGCGCCGTGGTTCGAACACGGGGCTTCGAGATAAACCCGGCACCATCGGTGCTTAAGCATTGCAATCTCACACTCTACCACTGAGTTACGCGAACGATACTCTGTTGATTAATCATTTCACCAAGATTGAAAAGTATTAGAGCTTATTAGCAGCACGTCGAAAAGTTGCTCCACGTCGAAAAGATCCTGCGATAAAGTCGAAAAGTGTGACGAGAACGTGATCAGCATTAGCGTTGGTTTGTCTATATTCTATGTACTGTACAACTTCTAGTAATTGCTCGTACGACATAATTTTTTGAGGAGAGGGTACACGAATATGACAGGCTTTGATGGCCTACACTGTGGGGATGAGCCAATGTCTTCGCGGTGAAAATGTAGAGAAAATGCAAGGATTTTTACCAAAATTCATCAAAAATCCTGGGCACGAATTTTAAAACTTTTCGTGTGGCGATTATTGTGAAGCTATCGTGAATTTGGCGGGGGGCCGTGCTTATTTTAAATTATCTTTTCATAATTTTACCATAACCTCAGCTCAATTCCTTCAAAATATCTGCTGCCATATTTTTGTACATAACCTCGAGATAAAACCCACATTTTCGCCTCGAGGAAATCGGCTCATCCCCGCAGTGCTACACGGATGGATCGTTATAGCGCAACCGGAGGCTGGGCAACTTTGTTACAAAGGGTAGAGGGCCTTATCGGAGGGCGGAACATTCTTGAGTTGTGGTCACAATGTCAGTAGCGTGATCAAACCGTGCTTTTTCAAAGCATGACTGTTCATTTTTCGTTTTCAAAAAGTTTTCGACGTGTTGCTAATAAGCTCTATTCTGGATTCGCTTTAGGTCAACCATGTGATCATACCAGGCTTAGCGCGCGTCTACCACAACTGATATCGAAAAACCAAGATGAAAACCAAACAAAAAGCAGACAACAGCAGCGTCATTACTGTCTTTCTCTTCACCATAGGCTCCGGAAATTGCAGGCTATTCAGATTGTCAAGTCCTCCGTCGTTCTCTTGTTTCCGTGTCTGTGCTTTCGCCGCGCTTTTCCTGATAATCTTTTCAACAAGCTTACTTTTCACCGCATTGACAACTGAAAGCACGCTCAAAATCTTGTTTCCGCTTCCTCATAAGTTACGAATACCCTGGTCTGCAGATAATACTCCCTTCCGGGCTGGCACGGGACCGCTCATACCTCGTTTCGATGAGTCGGACCCTGTTACAAGCTCGGAGAACAAAGAGTCTATCTATGTCCTCTCGCTTCCTCATAGGACTGATCGTCGCGCCCGAATGGAATATCTGCAAAACTATCTTGGCTTAAACTGGACATACATGGACGCGACCTACGCGGATGCAGAAATCATTGGAACGATCATGGGTAATGTTAGAAAGATACGAGAGGAAGCTATGAAAGCAAGATTAGAGCTACAGAGAATCAGGGATGAAAAAGCTAGGAAGAAGGAGAATGTCGACGATGACTTCGCGCTTATAGTCTATCCTGACGACCTGGAGCCGTATTTAATCCCGAACATTGCCTCGCCGTCTGGTCCTCTCCCGCATCAAGCAAGTCAACTATTCTCAGGCGTCAAACTACCGTTCCAGTGGCCAGCTTCTACGTTCACCAACATATCCGCATCTTCAGAGCCGCTTCTTTCACAGTTGTCATCGAAGGCTCAGATATTAGATTATCTTCAAGCGTTCGATATCTATGCAAGCAATCACAATTCGAACGAGATACTCGGGACCTGGCGTACGGGATCTAATTCTTCAAGCTTCGTAGATGATATCGAAGACCATGACTACTTCTACCGATTTCTCTCCAACATCGACACTAAAGCCGCCAATGCAAGAGCATATTCTATGGTGAACCTGGAACTAGTCTGTACCACGAAAGATTTCAGTCTCGTACCGTACTCGACTACATTGCCATATCACAAATACCTCACAGCTGCGCGGGTAGCTGTATGGCACTCGCATTTGAGGGTCTTACGACTGATCGCCGAAGAGGAAGAGTTGCGGCAGAAGAACTTCTGGAAGCAGGAGATCGAACGATCCGACGACAAGAATACGACGACTCCGAGAAGTATGAACGAAGAAGAAGACATGGGTCGGATCGAAGCCAAAGCAAGAACTGGAATGCGCTGGATGAGACAATACACTAATGGGCGGTACGAATGCTTTGGACTGATCCCGTTCGAAACCAGTGCTAATTGCTTGCTTGACAGACGAGGACTCGGTGAATCTGATCCAGAAGAGGACAGTGTCGGCGGATTTCTAGAGACTCCAAAATCCGACCCCCCGCGAACCAACGATGAACTTTCCAACGCCGCTGAATCGCAGCCTAAATCCGGTCGCGACAAATATCGTGAACACATCAGCATTATCCTCGAAGACGATATCGACATGGAGAAAGATATACGTCGCAGGTTACACCGAATCTGGATTGATCTACCAGACGACTGGGACATCGTCTTCTTAGGACATTGTTGGTCAAATGAATCTTTTTGGCCAGCAATTTTTCTTCCTACAGAATCACCCGAAACTCAGTATGCCACGACCAAAGGCGTCTCTGACAACACACTTCACCCTTCGTACTCTCCTAAATGCACACACGCATACGCACTCTCCCCTCCAGGCGTCCACAAGCTACTTGCGCACCTCGAGTACCCCCCCTTCGCGTATTCCCGAGCGATTGATCAGGCCTACGCATGGCTAGTTTCCAGTAATAAGATAAACGCGTACAGCGTAGTGGGGAGCGTTATCGTACAAGTCAAGGGTACCGTAACCAATTCAAGTAGTCCAAACGACAAAGGAGATGAAGTACATGAAAGTGGCGAAGGCGAAGGAAGCATAGGAATAGGCGATGTGTGGCGGCCAGGGAGGAAGGAAGATGCTGGCAATGGGACTGGGGCACTTCCCGTGGTTAGTACTAGTTCGTGGACCGAAGAGCTAATCAATGGGGTTTTTGCGGAACTCAAATAATTTGCTTGTGCGTCCCATGCTATTCAAGTTCCCCAAGTCCTTTACCATGTTTTTTATTTTTTTTTGATAAGTACAATAAATTCCGCGGTATTGTAAACGTAACTTTGAACATAGCTCACTTTTTCTCTTTTCAAAAACTCTCCAGAGCTGATAGTGGGTTCCACTTTGTCTGTGAGTATCCGACCTCGTTAGATAACGATAACTTGTTAGCAGGTAAAATTGGCTTTGATCCGAACTCCGCACGCGGTTTACCATTTAGGACAAGGCATTTCCAGTTCAAACACAACGGAAGCAAATTTTGTAAATTATTCACCTCCGTGGAAGCCGTTAGTGCGCACAGGATGGACCGTCGCAACTGTGATATCATGGAGCCCTTTAAAGGATCGTTTCAAAATGTTGACCCCCTTGCCCGGTGCCCTCATATCAGTTCGCATTCTTTACAGAGCTGGTCTCTGCAATTCGTATACTGACCTCCCTAACATTAATCGCATCCAACTCCAATGCTTTTCCTCCTTCCCACCAAGTTATTGTCGCCAGTGCTGCTGATGACACACTTGGTGGTCATTGCTGCGTTTCCCGTCGGTTTTACACCAATATCAGGCCATCGCTCTCGTGGTCTGAAACATTTCTCTTCCGAAACTGACCTCAAACCCGAAAATTTTGTGGGTTTTCACTACGCCCCTAGAGTGAGATCCCTCTTGAATTTTTACTTGGAGACCATTTCATGACTGCTGTAGGGGGAGGCCGAGGAATACAACAAGGCTCGGACGCTCACAGCAGCAACGGTTATCGAGCAAAACCCATATGCCGTTGTTTATCCTAAACGTGGATCCTTTTCCAAGTGCGTAGAATAATTTCTCTTCCTTGAACGCTGAAAATTTATTGTATACTGCAGTAATTATTGGGAGGTCAGACTACCGAGATTTTCCACCTTTTGTGGTACTCACTAATGCTCGTCGTTAGTGCCAGATTCATGTTCCACATAACGAGCAAAGGGCGATCGATGAAGTACCAAAGGTGCGCCTATCTAGGCTTGTTTACTGTACTGGAAATCAGTGGATTTTACACCAAACTTGCACAGCTGTTCATTCCAAACAATGCCGTTCCGCCTGGGAGTCAAGAGGAGCTTGATGAATACATCGAGAAAAAGGAATTAGAACCTGCCAAAACCGTTTTATTCCGCCAGGCAGTAGCAGACGTTGTAGAAATGTTGATCCCATCTCGGTATCTTGAAAAGTCGCCAAGCAATCAAGAGAATCCTTCCGGAGAGAATAGCCTTAGTTTGAAGGTATCATGTCACCCACCTAGTAAGTTCAACTTGTCTTGGATTGAGGTTCGAATCGTGCTCAAAAACTTCTTTTCCTTAGGCACGCCTTCTGGATCAGAGTCGTTGAAAGCGAATTGGCCAATCATGTGGTCCATTCTGCATTGGCCTGCGTCATTGATTATATAGACAAGTGGTGGAAAACTTCATACGTGACTCCGTCGTCCTACTTATGTGTCTCAAGGCCGTCCGATATCCCCCGGAAGCTCTCCCAGAACTCTGTTGGAAATTGGGTATTTTAGAAGCCGATTCCTTGTCCAGTTATAGCGTAGGTTGAATGGGATGGTCTTTGCACGGTACAGCGTAGTTAAAAGCCAAGCAAATTTGAATATTTTATATTATACTGCCAATTTTGGAAACTCCGGGAAATTTCACGTAGCCGATTTCCTCGAGGCAAAAATGTGGGTTTTATCTCGAGGTTATGTACAAAATATGCAGCAGATATTTTGAAGGAATTGAGCTGAGGTTATGGTACGGCCCCCCTAGACTCGAGCCAGTAGCTTCGGATGTTGACACTTTGGAAACTGGCGCTCAAAGCTGCCGAGAAAGTGATTCCGCATATCGCTTCTCAGCAGCAGACTGGTTCGAGTCTACGGCCCCCCGCCAAATTCACGATAGCTTCACAATAATCACCACATGAAAAGTTCTAAAATTCGTGCTCGGGATTTTTGACAAATTTGGAAAAAGTCCTTTCATTTTCTCTACATTTTCATCGCGAGGACATTGGTACATCCCCACAGTGAGTGTTATAGCTTATTTTAGAAGATTTTAGACCGAAAACATTGCGACAAGAGTTTGCAGTGTCTACTTCTGCGGGAGCTTCCAGGGGCCTAGTATCCCAATTCCAGGGGGCTAAAATAAGTTGTTAGAGCAGCTGGGGTGTTGATCTCTGCACATTCATGTCGGGCTCTCCTCAGTTCTCCTCTATACCAAAGTGACGATAATCGATCAAATTGTTCATATGTACTAGCAAATTGAATTTCAAATTGTAACAACACGAAGCTTGACACTTGTCATGAGAGGATGAACTATCAATAGGAAGCAAACGGTGTATATACTAACTTGAACTCTAACATCCACACACTCCCCAAATTACATTCCCATTTTTCGGCTGGCAAGTTATGCAATTAATTGATTGATTGCTGTAGGTAGTACTGTTGGAAACCAACGAAGAGTTTATAAATTATGTGTACAATGGGGAATGGTAAGAATTTTAAAATGCAGCGAGGACAAAGGAAAGGGTAGTAAAAAGAAGGAAGGTACAAGAGAATGCGAGAATAAAAAAGAGCGATAGAATCATATTTTCAAGAATTCCTTTATACACTAATTAACGAGTCCATTCTCTGAAACAGATATGATGAGCGGAGAGATAAAAGGAAGTAGTGTATTAAGATGAAGCATAATAATGGCGCAGACGAGATCAGAGGTTATAATCAAGAAGTCGATGAAAGAGTGACAAATGGAGGGAGTAGAGAGTAGATTTGAACTATTCCAACCCCCATATATCTAGCATCTTCTCGTTCCTTTCTGTTCTTCATATTTCTCCCGTCCCTCTCATGAAATTTAAACACCCCCCTGGCCTATACCTGCATCGTCATCGCATCCCGGTCATCCGCACATAACCTTGCCCACTCCAACGCAAGTCGATACACATACGACTCCAAGTCTAATGTTCGCCCAATTGTCCTCTTCCATTGTTTTCCTGCACGTGCTATGCGTCTCAAACGCGCATCACCGTCAGGTGCACCAGGGATAGCGGGTATTTTGGAGCCAGGAGGGAAGAGGGGAGCACCAGTAGCGGGGTCAGTAGCGTTGCCGTAGACTTCCTCGACAACTTCCGCGGGAATGCCGGAAAAGTACCCGTAAATATTGTAGATTTCTTCGTAGGAAGAAGAGAGAGGAATATAATGTAACCTGTTTTACCGGGAGTCAGATTCGATGCGACTATGGTGCAAGGCATCTTGGTACTCACCAGGGCTCAATCCACTCGGAGAAGAACTCTTCGTACACTGTACTCTTGATCGGTACTGAGTCAGAGGCAAGGAAGGACATAAATCGACCAGAGTAGGACATTCCGTCGAGGTCGATGAGGTATTTGTATTGCCAGTGACCACCTTGCAAATGAAGAAGCAGTCAGCGGTTATCCGGAAAGATTGTTGTTCGAACTCACCTAGATAAACACTACCAGAGAACCGATGTTCCTGCATGAGCTTCTCCATACCACCAGGGTACTGATCTGCATTCGCTGCTTTCACGAATGCAATATCCATCAACGCCTTGTTCAACGTTGCAGCAGGAATCTTGTGCGCCGTGAGGGGAACGTCTGCGAGTTGAATTTGCGAGGTGCTGGATTTAGCCGATGTCGATAGAGAAATGTTGGAAAAGGGGCTCGTGCTGGGAACCCAAACTTCTACATCACCCTCGACATCCCACCCGGTCATACGAACGGCCCGATGGCGCTGGTAGAGAGCGGCGAAACCAGGAGGAGAATTACCACCACCGGTCGTAGCTCCACGCCAGAAGATCTTGTTCCGTTTACTTTCCTTGCCAGTCTTACGATTTCTTGGCGGATTGGCAGTGTTAGTGTGGCCATCGTAGGAGGGGTCAATGACTTGACATAAGAAATCATTATGTAGATTGGACAATAGTGAAACAATCACATACTGAGGTCACGGTCGTCGACACCACCTTCACCGTCAGGACCAAGGTCAGTTTCGTCTCCCCAAGCTACTTCGCCACGGTCAGTCGGTTGTAACTCTAGATTTACTTCGTCCCAGCCGTATGTATAGGCATCGGTAGAACCGTAGTAGTAGTGAGAGGGAATCTACGCAAAAGACGGATTTAGCATAACCAAAGAATCCATCAAGTCGAGATATTAGAGAAAGTCACCTTGATATCACCGAATCCTTTCGCCCTGGCGGGACTAAGAATGGGATACAGATCACCTAGGGTACGCCAGTCACTGAAGAAGTGACCCTGAGTGTAGTGGAGATGGGGATTGTCACAGAAGGATACAGAGTCAAAGGAAGTTGAAGGGGCGAATGCGAAGGAAGAGGCTACACAAAGGCATAAGAAAAGATACCAGAGATAGATATAAAATAGAAGAACTTACCTTGATTTCCTGCAGGCTTGTTCGACGAGGAGGTGATATCGAGCATTGCACTCCGTATACTTGCGTAGAATTTCCGTGCTGTCGAGTTGGGCGGGCATGTTCTTCGCCAGGTATCCCAAACGTTGCCTTCTCCTCTCCAATCAGGACGGAAAGTAGAAAGAGGGTGAACCTTGTTCTTGTCATCGTCTGGAGTGTCATCTTCGATGTAGGTCCTGTTTCCCATTCCAAGTCCAACCTTGGAACTGGAAGAGCCGTCCTGACCCGCAACCTCCCATCTGTCCCAAGGAACGATAACTCTACCCTCCGCCTTCGCGTTGACCGGAAAATCCATATCAGGTAGAACTGCAACACATTTACCGAGCATACTTTTCAGCCCTCTAGCACGTGCAGAGACTTCGTCATCAACGAACCCATCCTTATTTATTGAGACGGTGGAAGGAACACCGTTGCGGACACGGACAAGGTCGATGGAGGAAACACCAGCAACTTCAGCTATACGTCGCCGCATTTCAGGACCACCACCCAATGCCCAACCATGTCTGTCCAAGCCTGAACCGGGGAGCAAAGGGTCTTCGTCCGCATCTGTATAGTCTCCGAGTTCTTTCTGCCCTCGTAGTGCGTAGAACGGAGCCAGGTCGCGCATAAGGGTATCATATTCGTCCACCAACACAACATCGTATTTCCTCGTGTATTCCCACCAACCCTCAAAGCCTTTTGGTGGAGGCATACCGTATCTGCGTTTGTATTCCTCAATAGCCTCAGGTAGAGTTTTTGATTGTCTTTCGACTTTGGCTCTGAATCTCTCTTCGGCCTCATCCATCATGCGAGTTATGGGATGTGTTGAGTAAGTTAATGTGGAAGGATGGGATGAGGAAGGTTCTGAGGATGTGAAAGTCATTGGAGGTGAACCGGCATTGAGGCCAATACGAAAGATAGCAACAGTAGAGCAAGCAAGCAACGTCCACATAAGTAGTGGGCGCCATTTTCGTTGTGAAAATCGGTGTTGGTTGGAGCCAGTCCACGGTGTATCACTAGGGCTGCGGCTGAGCATGGGTCGAGTACTCATGGTGGAGGTGGTCGACTTTTGGAATTTGAAAGATGAGGAAACAAGAAAACAATATTAAAATTAAAATTCCTTCGATCAGGGCGGCCACGATATTTTGATGCGCTGCGGCGCCGATTTTGACGTCGGGATATTGGACTGCCTGAAGGTGAAATTCACTATGAAATTCAGATAAATATTGTTGGCAAGTAACGCTATGTGTTCTGTTTACAATGTAGTAGATAATGGGAAGATGAGGTTGCGGTATGCGGCGCTGTATGTAAATATATATATACGACAGAAAGAGGGTTTTCACCTCTATACCTTCATAGTCATCATCTCCCGATCTTCAGCATTCAGCCTCGCCCACTCCAGAGCTAGACGGTAGACATATGATTCCATGTCAACCTTCCTGCCTATTGTATTCTTCCACTCCTTCCCTGCTTGTGCTATGCGTTGCAAACGAGCATCACCATCGGGCGCACCAGGAATTGCAGGGATTTTGGAGCCTGGAGGAAAGAAAGGGGTACCGGTAGCAGGATTGACGACGTTGCCGTAAATTTGCTCCATGACTTCTGCGGGAATGCCGGAAAAGTAGCCGAAAATGTTGTAGATTTCTTCGTAAGAGGATGAAAGAGGGATGTAGTGCAGCCAGGGCTCGATCCACTCGGAGAAGAATTCTTCGTAAACAGTGCTCTTGATTGGTACGGAGTCGGAGGAAAGAAAGGACATGAAGCGGCCGGAGTAGGACATTCCATCGAGATCGAGTAGGTATTTATACTGCCAATGGTTACCTTTCGAGCAAATAGTCAACAATATATCTGAAAGAACCGTGTATCAACTTACCTAATGACACACTACTAGAAAACCTATGATCCTCTGTCAGCTTCTTCAGACCACCAGGGTACTGCTTCGCATTCTGCGCTTTGACAAAGGCAACATCCATAAACGCTCTATTCAACGTAGCGATGGGAATCTTGTGTGCCGTCAACGGAGCATCAACTATGTCCGTGAGGTGATGGAGAGTGACGGGTTTACGAAGTGCCTTTGGATGAGAGGAGGCGTTGGTATGAAGAATGGGGTGAGGTATCCAAAGTTCAACATCGCCCTCGGCATCCCAGCTAGCCATGCGAACAGCCCGATGACGCTGGTAAAGCGCAGCGAAGCCAGCGGGAGAGTTACCTCCACCGGTGGTAGCTCCTCGCCAAAAAATCTTGTTTTGCTTGCTCACTTTGCCGGTTTTACGGTTGCGTGGCGGATTAGCGGTATTGTTGTGGCCGTCGTAAGCGGGGTCGATGACTAGAAGAAAATGTTCATATCCAGACGTAGGGGGAGAATACATCACACGCACTGAGGTCACGATCGTCGACACCTTCGTTGTCGGTAACATCACCCCAAGCGACTTCACCACGGTCAACGGGTTGCACTTTCTGGGTGGCTTTGTCCCAGCCGTAAGTATAGGCTTGAGTAGAGCCATAATAGTAATGAGATGGGATCTTTACAATAGATGGGTGATTTACGGATTTGACGGGAGCAAGGAACTCACCTTGATGTCACCGAATCCTTTCGCCCTGGCAGGACTGAGGACGGGATAAAGATCGTCTAGCGTACGCCAGTCACTAAAGAAGTGACCCTGCGTATAATGAAGATGGGGCTGGTCGCAGAATGATACAGAGTCGAAAGAATTCGATGGAGCGAATGAAAACGACGAAGAAGCGGATGAATCTACATGGCAGTCAGTATATGATAAAATAGCGCATTGAACACGAGAAACTTACCACCAGATTTCTCGGAGGCAGCAATATGTGACAACGACATACTATCGATCAGCGCACTCCGGAGGCTAGTATACGATTTCCGTGCCGTTGAGTTGGGAGGACAAGTACGACGCCATTTGTCCCAAACGTTCCCAACTCCTCTCCAATCCGGGTGAAAAGTAGCAAGAGGATGTAAGGTGTCTTTCGTATCATGAGGCGCAGTGTCTTCCATGTACGATCTGTTGCCCATCCCACGTCCAATTTTGTCGCCATTCATGCCATTCTGACCAGCAACCTCCCATCGATCCCATGGAACGATAACCCTGCCTTCCGCCTTAGCATTAACAGGGAAATCGATATCAGGAAGCTGCGGAGCGGAAACTCCAAGCATGCTCTTCAGCCCCTTGGCACGGGCAGATACTTCGTCATCGACAAATCCGTCTTTACTGATCGATACGGTGGAGAGTGTGCCGTTACGGATTCGGACCATGTCGATAGAAGCAACACTTGCAACTTCAACGATACGTCGCCGCATCTCGGAGCCACCGCCTAGTGCCCAACCGTATCGGTCCAGGCCCGATCCAAGACGAGCAGGATCTTCATCAGTGTCAGCATAATCGCCCATTTCCTTCTGTCCTCGTAGGGCATAAAATGGCGCCAGGTCCCGCATGAGAGTGTCGAACTCATCCACCAAGATAACATCATTCTTGCTGGCGAATTCCCACCAGTCATCAAAACCTATGGGCGGAGACATTCCATAACGACGTTTGTATTCCTTGATCGCCTCAGGCAGAGTCTTTGATTGCTTGTTCACTTTTGCTTGAAATCGTCTTTCGGCCTCTGCCATCATGCGAGTGATAGGATGTGTCGAAAATGTAAGTGTTGAAGGATGCGGTGAAGATGTCGGAGGAGAGTGCGAGGTGGTAGATGTGGTTGAAGGTAAGCCAGCAGGAAGGCCGACTCGTAGGATGACAACGGTGGAGCAAGCAAGTAAAATTAAAGTTAGCAGTGGTCGCCATTTTCGTTGGGAGAGCCGATGTTGTTTGGGGATAATCCATGGCGTATCGCTGGAAGGGCGAGTTAGTAATGGTCGTGTAGTCATGGTGTATATAATTTGAGTGTAGAATAGGTAGCAGAAGTGACAAGGAAGGAGTTGAATATAAAGGAGTTGAAATTTATGGGTCATTGCCCTTCCGCCCTCCTGATTCAGTCCACCTGTCTCAGGTAGCTTCGCCTAGTCGAGACTCAAAAAGTCTCGCCTGCGATGGAAACTAGTCAGACATTCATCTGCATAGGGAACTAATGGGAAGGAAGATAGAGGCAAAGGCAGGAGGGCAACAGTTGGGTAAAGGAGGAACACCAATATCGCGTTAATTTCCGCAGCGCGACAGAACGAACCTGTCATCCATTCTAGTTGCATGTAATTTAGCCGGGATGATACTGAAGACCTTTTCATGATAAGCACTTACTCGACCTACGTCTTGAGCTGAAAAGCTGGAGTGGACGAGTATGCCAGGGAGAAGTGAGGTGAACCAATAAATAGCAGCAATAGGGGCAGTAGACCAAAAGGGAGATGAGCGGGCACAAGCCATGATTAATGATTGGGCGAGGATACGGAATTAGAATGCGGGGCAGGCTCAAGGCGAGGATCCGGGATAAGACTGCGGAAGGCAGGGTGGAGTTGTTCACTGTCAAATGAATGTCACGAATCGATGCAAATATTCGGCGGGGCGCGATAGTGACGGTTGACATGAGAGCTGGCTAATAAACCAGATAAAATCATTTTCGAGCTCACCAGGATTTCAACGCTGTAGACGCGTGAGCATATCATCTTAGCAGTTACTCTTTTGCACCTTCCCTGCCTCCTCCTTTACCTGCATCTCTCAATATCTTCGAGACTTGGGACTTTTGAAATTAAGTTCAAGTCTGCGCACACGGGGGGTGTTCCGTTCACGGAGGTTAGTGGGAGATCTTGGGCGTATTTTCGCAGCTAACTCTCGAATATGCATTCGGAATCTTGGTTTGAGCTGCATCGATTTGAAAGTATATGATCATGGACATGGAGTAACTTTCGAAACTACGAGAATTCCGCGCAGCTCGACGAGCGTCGAAACTCGTACGTACATCATTACGTAAGACTTTGCTGCTTTCGTGGATTAATTGTTGCTAGTCCTGCGTTGTACCAATCCGGTTGATCAAGACAATAGTACAACATGAGATCAAGATAATTTACAGCAATAATAATATCAAGGGGTACTATTTACATATTACATTACAACATACAAAAGAAAGAATTTAGACCTTCCAAGCCTGCTACATACAGGAAACTTGAATACTAGTATGCCAGTGGAGTAGGCGGAACAAGTATTAACGAATATGAAGGAACGAAAACGAATTATACTGTATGCACAAAGAACGAACAAATTATCTGGGACAAAAGAAAAAGAATATCACTTTGCCGTTAACGTCAACCAGTCAAGCCTGGCCGTAGCAGGCTATACCATGGCATCCTCAGACTTCAATCAAGCCCATCAAGCCCATCCAAATCGAACCCTCCAAGCGAACCCGATTCTGTCCTCCCCACGAAAAACACAGACAAAACCAATACCATCCCAACCATACTCAGTACCCGCGCAAGCATCTTGCTTCCTAGGTCCGACAAGCCCCGAACCAGTGCATCTTGATCACCCATTCTCTCATGCTCGATACACGACAACCCACCGAGTCGAGTTGGTGGGAATAAGGGAAAAGGGGATTCGGAACGCGTGGGGAGGTCCGAAGGGTGAGCCGGATCAGGACAAAAGTCAAAGTTAAAATACGAAGACGGGCTCCTGGGAGAACTGGGAGAGGAAGAAGACGACTCAGGGGAACCTGAACGACTCAGAGCCGGAGGTAATCCCACCTCCGTATGGGGCGTTGCGGAGTCATACCCAAAATCCTGGTTTGTATCACGCCTCGCAAGCCCCCGAGCGATTTTCTGAGTGAGGGATTGGCTGACGGCGTTGAGCATTAGGAGGAGCGTGGCGGAGCGAGGGCTGTCAGGGCTCGGACCACTACTAGTTTCAGGAGGTCTATCTACTGAAGGTCTATGTATGAGCAATCTCGAGCCACAATCAGAATCGGAAGTGGAATCCAAGGCGGGATCAAGGGAATCACTGTTTGTGCTGATGGAACTCTTGAGGTTGGTAAGATTGGCGAAATATGTCAATGATGGTCGGATTGGTGCGGGTGCATAGACGGGAAGAGGTTGTGAAAGGAGAGAGGGCGGGGAACGTGGAGTAGGAGGAGAAGGCGGAGTGCGGGGAGTAGGCGGAGTACGAGGAGTACGAGCAAGAGCATGAGTAGATACAAGACCCATCGGAACATTGTGTATAGTCGGTGTCATAGGAGGCGCGAGCGAGATTGTGCCGGTTTGTGGATGACATTCTGACGCACAGGCCGGGCAGCGGTTCGAAGATCCGTGAAGCCACTGTAAATAGATGGTTTGTGAGAGGACGGAGGATTGTGGAAGACATGAACGTACGTCATGTAAATGCTCCTCACAAAACACCTTCCCGCAACATTTCGTTCGGGATGGTCGGACGGCGGGGTCGAAGCTGTAAGCGTAGAAAATCAGTGATTCAATATTCAATGTTTAGCGAATAACACGAGACTACAAAAGATAGACTTACCAAATCCCACAATCTCGATCGAAATTGAACCTTGACGACAGCGAGGAGGAGCTTGTTCTTGTCCGGATTCTCAACTTCGCTTTATTCTTCGGATTCGAGCTCGCGCTTGTATTATCACCAAGCTGATTCCTAGTCAATGGACTCGGGTCTGATTTGGACCACTGTAACAAGAGCCTTGGTTGGACAGTACCAGTGGCAATGGTAGTGGTGGTGTCAGAATCAGCGCCAAGAAATGGCCCAGACGTTGACTTCGATTTGAACTGGGGTTCGGGATTGGGTGACTCAAGATACTCAGACTTCTTTGCGCCGGGACGTTGAATCCGGCTACGGAGTTCAGCTACACCTTGCTTATCATTATGATTATGATTATGGCCATCGCTATGTTCTTCAGATATACTCGCGAGAGCTTGGGATGGGAGGTTGATCCGGGCGGGGAGAGACCGTGTGCGTGCGGGGCGCTGCCGAGAAGGGAGCAGGATTAGCGCGGTACAAGTGGTACTAGTAGTATCAATGGTGCTGCTTAGTGGAGTGGTGTTCAGCATGATAGTCGGTGGATGATAACAAACTGAGGACGATGAAATCAGAATTCCTCGAACTCCGAGTCGTCAAATAGTGCGTTCGGGTTCAAAGAGTGAAGAGAAGGAAGAACGAGCCGGGGAGGAAAAGTTGAGGACAGCCCAACAAGCTGATCATTATAACGATACCCAGATTAAGGTGATAATGAGATTAAAGCAACCAAGCACCGGGGCCCCACCAGAGCGGAGACTCGAAGTTATTGTGATTGTTTCAATTACCGGGACACAAGTTGTTCGAAGTCGTAATTGTTGCGGGGGCCAGCGGATCCACTGGCCTGGCCATGAGAGCCAGTGAAAAGACAATAGCACAACACGATGCGATTCAGACCTGTAGGTACGATGACGAAACACGATAAGCGGGAACGGAACCTAAGATCAAACGATGAAACCAGCGAATTGTTAATGCAGAATGGAGTCAACGACGATACAACACATCCTTTCTGACTGCCTCCTGGTTTGATGAAATTCGTGAAACCTGGAAAACTTATGAAAGCCGTAAAACCCAATAATAGCTCCAGTTTTCATACGTATGTAAAATCTTCCAATTGACGATAGCCCTCAAATGTTTTGTGTCTTCAAGACTGATATTTCGGCGGCTATGTGGAGATCGAAAAGGTCGTTCAATTTCCAAATGAAGCGCTTCGAATTAAGAGGTATCTAGTTCCTGGCAGATTCGCAACAATCACGCCTAAAACGGGAATTCCATAAATGAAGGATTCAGGACAGTGAGTGACATGCGATTGCAGGCCACTGCACCACCGTGCATGGCAAAAACTCGGCTCCTTTTTTGGGGGCTATTAAATATTATGGAATCAAATAAACGGGGCGCCTTACAGGCGCCGACATTGAATGTTTTTCAAGAATGAAATAAATACATGAATTACAGTATCTATAGAGTAACAGGGAGTAACTGAGTGAGATGCTGTGAGACGAGAAAAAATAATTGTGACAGAGTCACAGTCCCGTGATATCCCGTGCCGGTCACAAGAATTCAATACAATTCAACTCAGTGTTACATTTGGCCAAATAAGGCGAAACTACTGCCATAAAGGGAAATAATTTTTGTATGGAGTACCATACATAAGGACGATACTTCCGTAAACTACAGCCTCGTAATATATGAAACCACGAGGCCCATCGTAACGCACCAGAGAGCTATCGCGACTCTTATCTAAGGATAACTACGCGTCTATGTACAACTTTGTTTCGAATTGGTCGACTGAAGGGTACATGCAATGTTGCATGAATACTTGATGCATTTTTACACAGTACATTTGGGTAAAAGAAAGTGAGGATCAAGAGATAGGAATAACATGCGATTGTAGGCCACTGCACGGCAGTGCATGGCAGAACTCGGCTGTTGGTTTTTTTGTACATTCAATGAAAAAGTCAGATCTGAGTAATTGGGGGAAAATAGCAAGAAATATCACATGTTTAGTGGTTAGCTTTGGAGTAAATTGCAGCAGAAGCAGAACCTGACTGGCACTGGTTCCAGTTGAGATCTGAGAAATCAGAAGCTTCTTGCAGTGGTACTCCATTATTGACCATACCGTCATATATATGAATGATATTGTCTTTACCTACAATTCGAGATATGAAATGTTCCTTCATGGGAATATAATAAATTACACCACTGAGGGTGTATAAAATAATTTCATTATTGCATTGTAAATGCACAATTGTATCAATCTTGAGATGTGGTCTTCCATCACAGGAAAAGCTAATATATTAGGGGTGCATGCAATATGACAGTATTTTCTCAAATGACAGTTGCATGTGTTACATACTAAGTTTGAAATGGTATACCACACGATCCTTCCCATTCTGCAAACCCCTTCGATGCGCCATCGTTATACCACACGATCCTTCCCATTCAGCAATCCCCTTCTATGTGACATCATTCATGCTCGATGTGCCGGCCGAGACCATGCTTTACACGAACTCAATCCTTTGCATTCTGCCTTCCCCCTCTGCGCGCCATTGTTCTCGCTCAATGTGCCGGCCAAGACCATGCTTTACATGAAATTGACTGCAGCAAATGTGTTGCGATTTGGACATATGGACATTACACTATCTGGAGATGGATAAATGTGGTCAAATGGTAGAATCTTGGGTCTCATATAATTTGAACTAAATGTCATAACTTCGACCACACTGTCAATACTGAACAGAGTCGGTACTAACAAATAATTTTCCATCCAATCTATCGTATCTAGCCCGGCAAGCTGTGCCAACAATTCCACATCACAGACCACAGACCCATACCAGTCTACCCATGACCTGTCATGAAGTACGTAGCCCCTATCATTTTCCTTTTCTCACCATCTCGACGCCCTTACTTGTACGATTACATCACTGTCAAATCCCATCAATTACTGATCCACCTGACCCCCATCATCGATTACTGATCCACCTGTTACCCTTCTCCTTCTACTGGCTTCCGCCACCTTCCTTGTTCCTAAACTGTACAGTATTACATCGTCATTTCTCGCAGATTGGATTATGTATATAAAGCCAATCCCTCACAACCTGGTCCCTTATCTTGACCTCTCTGTCATTATCTGGGACCAGTTTGCCTCTGCTCCGCTTAGTCGCTCCGCCTCATCTCCTTGCTTAGTCATTCCGCTTTCCTGCTCCGCTAGTCACTCCGCCTCTGCCGCTTCATGACATTAGGTCAAGATCCATTACTGCACTGACAGCCTACCAATAAGGTTGTTCTTGCAGGATCCGCATACATCACGTCTTCTACACCCGTAGATCTTTCTGATCATACTGCTACAACCGATTGCTCCGCTCTCCAACATGCACTTGACCCCAGAGATCAGCACCACACCCACAATATCGGTGATAGCTGGTACGACTGTGACTCTCAGCCTTGCCCCATGCACTCTCCAATTCAGTTCAGGACCCAACTACCGTAGAAAATATCACCTTCTTGCCAATTCCCCAACTCTGATTGCCTACTCCTATCATGTCGACTCCTATTCTGCCTGCCACACCAGCTCCACCCGCCTCTGCAGAAGATCTCATGACTCAGCTCATTAAACAAGTAGCCAATCTTGCTACAGCCATGGAGGAACGCTCATCCTCCAAGTCTAGCATGAACAAACCCGAGGTATTCAAGGGAAAAGATAGCACTGAGGCGCATCGCTTCATGGCTCAGTTCCAGAACTGGGCATCGGAACAACCTGATCTCACCAAGAGTCAGGCAAAGCTTATCAAGTCAGCCCTAGGGTTCTTTACTGAAAGTGCAGGTGACTGGGCAACCCCGCATTTGCTACATTTCAATGCGGAACATCCCCCCTTTGGAGGAGATTGGGAAGAGTTCCTGAAAGAGTTTGTTCAACGCTTTGAGTCAGTAGACCCGGGTATGGAAGCTCGCAGCGAGATCAAAAATCTCAAGCAAGGTAAAGGCCAGACAGTCACAGAATTCGCTCAGAAGTTCAAGGATATTGGGGATCGGACTGGAATGTCTGACATTGATTTACGGGAACGCTTCTTCACTGCCCTACTTCCGGAGATCCGACAAAATCTCATCATTGTAAACATCGCCCAAGGACTTGCTCCGACTCTGAAGGAGGCAATCAAACGAGCCATATCAGTGGACGTCTACATGCACGACCCCACCATGACTGGCCAAAACTCTGGACACGCTCCCACACATACCGCTCACACTACCCCTGCTGACCCCCATGCTATGGACATTGATGCAACCCACACTAGTAATGGGAATACTAGGGAGGCATTCCTAGCTCGCATGCGAGGACGATGCTTTGGCTGTGGCGCCCAAGGTCATGTCAAACAAAACTGCCCACACCGAGAAACCACCTGCCGTTACTGTGGACGCCGAGGACATCTGGAAACAGTCTGCCAAGACAAGTTCATGGGACTCGGACCAGACCGAGGCCGACGCCAGCAGATATCCGCTGACACGCCTAAATTTTGGCTAGACGTCTATACTGTGAATTGTGACATTTTCACATATAGATTTGTATCGAGAGGACTGTAATTGAGACCCAGATTGACAGTCAAAGTCAATACTGAATCAGTCTAATAAGTTGAAGGGACCATATACCCATACTATCACAAGTTGGTTAGTTTACCCATCCCCGATACTACCTTCGGATAACAGTCTACCTGTTTGTCAAGCAGGATTATACCAGACTCGGACTACATCCGAAGGATGACACCATTCATGTATGACATACCAAGGGTATTCTTATTGGACCTTACACTGGCAGGAGTGTGGAAGAACTTACTCAAGTGACCATGAGCCGAGGATTGACTCGAAATGACTTTCTAGAACTCAGGAATTATCAAATACTCCTTCTAGAACGAGATCATGCATTAATCTAAAAGACTGCGATTTAGTCTAATAGACCAATCAAGTTGCATGGTTGAGGAAAATGACTAGAAGAATGATCGAAGTACTGCGAGGCTCCGAAGACATATCAAATGAATGTCAAAGAGTCCTGACATAGAAAATATTGAAGAATGCAATTGAATGAATACTATGCGCAACTCCCTTGATAGAGTATAGGCACAATGGGTGTCTATTGAAAGAGAGAAGCAATTAGTTTAATCCAGATGAATCAGATTGATAGGATTAGAATCAAGGAGAGCTGATTTGCCTCCGGACGAGGTGACAAACGATCAAAGTAAGTGTTGAACAGCAACGACAGTTGAACACCATTTGAGTCATTCTCTAAAAACAATTAAATTAAATGAATATCGAAGTACCTACCTATGTTTGGAGGTATACTTGAATCTTGGAACCATTATGGACCAAATAAGGACATGTAGATTCAAATTAAATGGTATCTGACCGAGTGTAGAAGTTTTCTTGCGGTTCCGAACGTTTATTGTATTAAATTAATTGTACTGTGCGACTCTATATTCTGTATGTATAAATAGCGATCCGATGTATCTGGAATACAAGTGATTTTGGGACGACGTTGCAGTGCTAA